TCCTGGTCTGATTAGCTAAAAATGATGAAAAACAAGGGAAGAAGTTGAGAAAATGTTCCCAAAATTATGGTGTGCTTTCTGCCCTGATGGAGTGCAATATTATTTAAATGTCATCAAAAAAGTTAAGAATGTCATAAATATGAGAGGTGCCCTTTTCAATGAGCTTACACATGTAAAAGCAAATACTGCTGTCCATTCTTTTCTTAAATAAGATTTGAAAGAACTGCATTGCAGTTTCTCAGAATTTATAATAAAGTTAGAAAAAATAGGCACTCAAAAAAGGGGGCATAAGATGATATTTATTTTTCAAATTGATGCCTGACTGTTACACTTTTATTCCATCCTCCTTTGTTATCTTTTAATGCTTGAGGTTATTTTAGCCCTGGCTGCAGCTCACTGATGATTCCCCTCTATCACCTCCTTAACGTGTTGCACACGTTTGTTCTCCCCACACTTCCCGTGCCCTGATGAAGTCCGGCTCTTGCTGCTTAGCCTGAGAGAAAGCAGTAGAGATTATCCAAACTTCCCTCTACCTGGGAAAACCAATCATAGGCAAGAAGCAGGATGCTACTGGAAGGAAAACATAGGTCCCTGCTGTTGCAGTAGGCAGCTAGGTGTGTTGAGGTAGGCTTTAAGCAGGGCTAACCTGGAGTCTGAAGGCTGGAACCCCAGGAGCAAAGCCCAGTGCCTATTATCGTGCTGCTGGTAATGCTGGGGAAAATGTCTTCAAGGGATTCCACATGGGCACTGCTCTGGAGTCTGCCGCAGCACTTTCTTCCGCAGGGAAATGAAGATGGCCCAACCTGGGGCTCGCTTCCCGTGGCTCTTCTACTTGGAGGCAGACAGAGCGTGCTGGAGGCACTCAGGCGTTCTCCTCTTATTAATAGCTGTCTCTCCTGTTTTGTTCATTACTAGAATGATGAGCCCTGTTAAAGCCCCGAGTATAAATCCTTAAAGAAAATGTTCCTCGCACAAAAATAGCTGCAGCAGAAAAGATTGTTTAAGCTTTATCATTATCAGTTTAAATACAGCATTAGCTCTCCCTTCTCAGTGTGCAAAGGCTGAGCAGAGCTGGAGCTGCAGCGGGTGGGAGGTGCATTGTCAGCGGTGCAGTTGCCTTAGGTGTGACCAGCTGTGTGTGACCGTGCTGGGTCTCACCGCAGACTGGCAGGACTGGGGGCACTGAAAATGCTAGTGACTTTCTGTAGACAGTGTGGGACATGTTGGGGTGCGTGCCTGGGCACAGGGAGTGAAGTTGTTAACAGTCCTGCCCAGATGCCTGAACTATTCCTTTCTTCGTGCCTTCCCTAAATTTCTTGGCTGCTGTGTAGTCATAAACCCAGATCAAGGGAAAATTCATGGTTCAGGGAAAAAAAATCGATTCTTATGTACACTGGTGGGTTCCCTGACCTAGAAATGCTTCAATAACCAGCAGCGATTTATTTATTTCTACAAGAAAAATGGTCTCTTGCTTTGTTTGTTAAGTCAGATATGAAAGAGAAAGGAAAGATAAAATGGAGAGAGAAGGCAGCACTTCTCTCCGCTGATGATGTGTTTGATGGATGGCTCTCTGAGGAGCTGATTGAACTCAGTATTATACCCACCAAATTAAGATAAATCATTACTGAAGAGTTCATGGAGTACATGCCCAAAATCAATTATGCTCACATGGAGATCTATTAATCTATCTCTGCCTGTTATATCTGTCCAGCTTCTTGTAATGGCTTTTTGTCATTCAACACAGGTTATCTCTTATAGGTAGTCGTACAGCTCCTGGTGGTTTGCATCAAAATTACAGATGCTTCTCATACATGAGGAGTCCCTTCACCCCTTCCCTATGCTCACTCCAGATTACGGTAACTTAAGTTTCATAGCCTTTCTCCCAAGAAAGTCTTCATAGCTGTAACTGGTAATATGAATACTGACTGCCTTCTGCAGGAGTTAGTTTGTTGTCACCTTCTCTTACTTGTTCACAACAGTCTGATGAAGAATCCTGTATGGAAAGAAAAAAAAAAAAAAAAAAAAAAAAAAAAGATTCATGTATTAGGATGTGCAGTTGAAAAAGCTGCAATGAAAAAGTCATATTGAGGAAACTGACTCTTTCTATTGAACTATTTTCAGTGAAATCCAGTGGCAGTCAGAGCCAGACCATACCAGATGCTGTCCCTATTCCCAGGGAGAGGTATGCCTCTTGTGGTCAGTGCCTACTTGAGACAGGGGAAGCAAAGTGAGCATTGAAAGAAGGGGAAATCACAGATGAGAACTGAGGCCACACCTAAAATTTTGTCATTTTTTTTAAGTATGAGACCACATTAAGTTTGTACACCAGAACCGTTTTCATGGTGAGCAACTAGCTCTACCTCTTACCATTTACTGTTCAGTCATGTTAACAGTATAGAAGATTGGTCACTGCCTATGAGTATTTGAAGTCGATGGTGCAGTTAGGCAAAGCATTCTGAATGTGTCACAAATCCTAATGCAGATAAGAGGTAATTTTCATTATGTCAATGAATAGCTGGCGTTAGAATGGCCAGTAAGTGACAACAAATAATGTCAAGTAAATGTCTGCTAGTAAGGTTTGGTATTTATGTTAAATGGTAAATGGTCATTTTAAAAGGGTGAGCTGGATGCCACGTCCATCTCAAAAGAAAAAAAAAAAAGGCTTGTTGGAAAGAAATGATGTACAGATATTTCCTGTTCTTTTTAAAAAGTGTTAAAGGTGTCATAGCGTATTTTTATATTACAGACATGGTCTCCAAGCTAGAATGGAAGTTGGTGCAGCTTGGAAACAAAACTGGAAGAGCTAAGTGGGATCTTAGGACATAGCAGAAAAAGTCACAGGTCACTTGAATCAAAGGCATCTAAGTCAATGAGGTCAGCTGAGATTAGTTTGACCTCAAAAGTCCATTTCAGAAAAATAGGACCAAAAAAATAGCCCTGAAAGCAATGGATATGAATTATAAGGCTGTTTTCTGAATTAAGTAGTACAGATCTGCCAAATTCTATCTTTGTACTATCAAATCCTGAGAAAATAGAGCCTATCATTACAACAGATAACAGATGAAGGGTTAATTGCATATAAGATTGTATTTCTCAATTCACAAGCTTCTTATGTTTTAATCCACGTGAATTTTATTTTCTTTCACTGAAATACGCATTCCACTTGACAGCTGGATCTATGTTTTTTGGTTTGTTTTCAATTTAAAAGAGTTATCTATTCATAGCTCAGCTTAGTACAAAGTGTATCTTCCTTCATATAAATTATGCAGATACCTATGCTTAATACATGGTCAGCAATCTATTTTAAAACTTCTGGCACACAGAAATGAGAAGGGAGAATTTCAGATTCCCTCTGTTCACTTCATGACTTCAGTAGCTGTAAATGGAAGAAAGGTTTACCGTCAGAAAGAGTGCTACCCAGAAAGTGGGTTGCATTTGTAAAATGAGGGACCCTCACAGAACCTCTAACCTGTTGAAGTGAGTCAGCATCCTCATGCAATGATTTCAGCCCTGGGTTGGAGTGTGGAGGTTTTGTCAATAAAGCTTGATAAATAAATGCAACACTTTCAGTCTTTAAGAACAGGGCATCAGTAGCATGGCTGTGAATTTCATTGACTTTCTAAGCAAAATTGAACTTTTTGTTGGTAATTCATTCAAAGCAAGTAGCCAGTGTATAAATCCTTAGTTCTGTGGTAATCTGCATGCATACGAAATGAAACTGGATAAAATCTTAGAGCCTGTGGGTGTTTTGGGTGAGCTTCCTGCTTTGGTATCGAACCTTTCTTTTGATGGTATAAATAAATGTTTGGGGTTGTTGCAGCTGCAGTCAGACAACTTCCGTAACATCGATTAGTAATGTATTGGCAAAAATTGGTCTCTTTGTTAATAAGAAACAACACGGTGATTAATAGGTTACATAGGTTATACTGAGTGTACAGCCAGATATTTCAAGAGTAAATGAAATGTCCCACCACAATCAATAACGATGGAAATCAGAGCAGACTTCTCCAGCTCAGTCTTGTATATCTAACAGGGAGTGATCCCATAGTGTTTTAGGGGAGCACTAACATCTCTTCATTTATTTTTATTATTACATTAATTTGCTGAGTGGCTTTTCTAGCCTGAAGCATGAAGGCAACAAAAATGTCAGGTTGTACTATCAGGAACTGCTGATTCCAGACAAATCTAGTTGGGCTACAGCAAGCACTGAAACTGCTGCTGGCTTTCTAATATGATTCAAGTCAAATCCCTGTTTGACATGACTTCAGCATGACACTGGAGAGGAAGATATGTTTTAAATATAGAAAAATTACTTCAGAATACATTTCATAAGGTAAATATTATTTATAGTGAGACATGAGGATTTTTTTTTGTCGCGAGACAGGCTATTTTTGTGCCTTTTTCAATCTGGCAGATAATACCATGAAGTCTATTTTTGATAGATTTCCAGTTTGTTCTCTCAATTCGTTATGTCATTCAGATGAAGAAACTGCTTTGAAATGTAGAAATGAGTCCAACTGTTAAACTTACCCAGCTCTACTCATCTTTTTTGACTTTTCTTAGTCTTGAAAGAAAGAGGCAGGATCAACAGAAACAAGTTAGAGCTTGTACCAGAGAAGGAGATATAAATGAGTACCTTACATACCTGAAACCTGGCTTCAGTGAGCCATTTACTTTCTTTGCATCTGTTAGGGTTGAAAAGACCTATTTGTAATAAATTTTTGCCCAGGAATAATATTTTAACTCATCTGGGTTTTATGGCCTTTTGTTTTGTTTTGTTTTCCTTTTATGTTCAAACCTTTCCTCTCTTGTTCAGGGTGCTATCCTTATTTATGGATGTGACATTGAATCGGCTTTTTTTTCCCTGAGACAGAATTTTAAAAAAGCACATCATAGAGTTCAACAACAGTGCTTGACACTTGCATTTCCCAAACCCTTTACCATTTTAGTTTTCATTGACCTGTATCTTCATTAGGGTTTTCCCCCTAAATCGCTGTGAGTACAGCAGTACCAATGCTACTCATGAGTAAGGGCAGAGCAAACTAATCCGAGATGGTTCAGGGAAGGCAGGTTTATTTTTTCTGAGCTGTGCTGAAGGACTGAAAAAGCTCCTACTGACTTACTGAGAGCAGATGAAGGTTTAAGGTCTGTGGGTCTGTGCCATGCTCAGGAGCTGGTCAATGACAAACTTTCAAACAAACTATGGGAAATCCCAGCAGTACACTAAATGTGGCTTCTGTATTGAGGATGAAAGGGGAAAAGTGACACACACCGCAAAAGTTTTGAAAGAATAGAAAGCACTAAAGTCTGTAGATTGTCTTATTTATAGTCTTCTGCTGGAAATAACAGAAAATACATACAAAAAACCATACATTTTTATGGTTATTTTGCACATGTAGCTCTTTGTGAATTTAATAAATCTATGCTTAGTTATCTTAGTTGGCCACAGTCCTGCCCAGTCCATTTGGGATGTAGGAGTGAAGGTCTCCAGAAAATTGTTGCAGTGCTTCATTGATCGTTTTCCATTTCTGTTTAATCACTTCTGTTAACTTACTTGATGCCAGTCCTCAGATACAGACAATTGCTCCCTACCCACCATTAGTCACTGGAAGAGTCTTTGAATGTCTGATGAGTCTTGAGCATATGGATGAGCAGACAGAGCAGTATTTGGGGCATGCTCAGCTTCCTAGATTCATTGCTTCTCGAAGGTACCTTCCTCAGCCTGCATTTCACCTGCAGGCAAGGGATTTTGTTCTTTGTTTGCTGAAGGCAGTTGGTAAATCCTTTGTCTATGGTGTTGTAGAAGACAAATAACACGTAAAATCTCTGTTGGGTCTAAGAGCACATTGTGAGAGGTAGTTTTAGTCCAGGACAAATTGAATTTAAGTGAAAATTGGGAATAAAGCTTCATTCCTGCTTATTAATACCGTGCTCTTCCCCTGACATTTGGTACAAAGACCATCCTACAGAAAACCTAGCATTTTCTCCCCCACACATGTAGGATTCAGATTTCCCCACACAACCTGGGTTAGATCCAGCAAAGGGAAGATATGATAAAGTCTTGACACTGATGTAGGATATGATCAGGTGAACAAGACCCAGGACCTGATGGTTTTCCTGGGTGCCACCCAGCCTTTCCAACCTTTCCAATTAGCCTCAGCAACAACTAACCCACTGACAGCTGTGCTGAGATGTCCCCAGGAGCCACAGAGGTGTGTGTGATGAGATTGCCCTCACCTCCAGCTCACCTTTGCCTGGCTGTATTCATTCCTCAGCAAGCTGAGGGTGCTTCTGGTGGTGCCTTGGCTGCCTGGGCTCAGCTCTGTGCCTCTGCCAGGAAGGGAGCCAGGTAGGAGCATGGGGCTGAGCTGGGAAGGGAGCTGGGAGGTGCTGGGAGGTGCTGCTGCCTCTTGGGCACGAGGAATGAGAACTTGGCTAGAGGGGTTCCTGATTGGTGGGGTTTTGTTTCATGCACTGTGCCTTTGGGTTTGCTAGGATGTCAGGATGGTTCTATGATTCTAATGGGCTTGCAGGGTTTTAAGCTAATGAAACTGTTTAAAGTCTGTTTAGAGCAGCTGCAGAAAACCTCTTTATCACCTGAGCTGTGCTGGTAATGTCTAAAGCCTGAATCAAGGTTTAATCAATCAATCTCTGTGAAGAGATTATGTGAAAAACTTGCTTTCTTTTCTTTCTCTGTGAGTACTGTTGAAAAGAGTGCATCCTTAACGTGAACATTAAAGTGTTGGGTTTGTTTTTTCTTTCCCCCCTCAAATGTTGATAATGGAGGGCTAAGGGAAAGAGATGTGTTTGCAATGTGAGCTTGCTGTGGTTTGGATAGAAAGGTCTCCTGCATCTAACTAAATGAGTATGGAAGCACCATGGCTCAAAACGCAGTTGTTGGTTGGTCTTAATATCCTTGGGTTAGGGCTATGTGTTTTATGTTCCTGTGTAGAAACCTTAAATGGAGCTCCCTACTTTCCCTAATGTGCCCTAACTTGCTATTGAATCAAATGCTAACACTTTGCATCCAATTCCTCTTGTGTTGTCCCTCACAGAGGTGCAATATGTTAGGCAGTAGCAATTCCAGTTCTTATAGCTGAGGTATGTATGGTGGTGGATGAGTATCTAGGGGATATTTTTGAATTGCATTAATGGTATTCTCGCTTGGCCAAATCTATTAATCTTCTTAGAACATTTATCATATGCTGTCTACAAGTAAGTAGTAAGTGACTACAGGCAAGTGTTCGTTAATATGTCCTTCCTCTGTATGCATTTCTCATGAAGCAGGCTGTTACTGTTTCTGTTTGTAGTCACTTCTAATCTGAAAATTATTTCATTAGTCCAAAAATTAATAACAGCTTTAGTGAAACTGTTTGAATGAGCAAAATGCATGTTTAATGGCTTGTGGGGATCAGAATCCAGACACGTAAAGCTTTGGTACAAAACCCTAACATGCTGATAGAAGCTTGTATTAAGCTTATGTAAGAAACCTATCAAAACCAATATATTTTCAAAAGGAATGATTAAGTGAATGATTAGTAACATTTGAGTCTTAAACTTTAGTATTTAACCTATCAAATATTGTAGTTAATAAACTGAGGTTTCTTTATAACAAAGACCTGGTCAGGAATATTTTTCTTATGATAACATCATTTTAACTTCCCCTCTCACTATGCTCTAGAGCTTGTAAATCGAAACTACTTCTGTTTTGAAAAATCTCCAAAAACAAACAAAATACCTCCTAGCACCTTATGCTAGTCCAAGACCTGTGGCTATGTTTCCTATTTTGAATTTTCTGTTCAGATCTGTTGTAGTGCTTCATTTTGTCATTTTCCTTAACATAAATATCCCTCACCTCCCTGCCCCCCCTTGCCAGGAAAAGCCAAAAGCCAAGCTGATACATAATTCCAACTACGCCTCACAGTATTCTGTTAAATGATGTGTTTCATAAAAATATTTCAAAATCCCAAAGCTATCACAACTAATGATGTTTGATGCCTGCTGATTGAAATTATGACTAACGGGATAATAGCTGTTACATGTACTCATTTAGGTTGTCATCTCATGTAATCAAGTAGAAGATGTGTTTAACTTTGACCATGGCAGTTCAGTTTCTTGGTGGCCAGCTGTGTACATCAAAGTCTCACAGTGCTTTGGGAAAGCATTAGTAACAACAACCTTTTACATGCAGGAGCCCAGTATCAAACCATTAATTCCTAAACTTCTCCTCCTGGCACCCAGACTGGAGACAAATATAATAGAAACATTAAGGAAGAAAAAAAAAAAATGATATATAAGGGAAAGAAGTGAAAACCAGTGCTGTTTCTCAGTCTTCTCATCTAAGGACAGATGCAGTTTTGCTAAACAGGGGCATGCTGGCAGGCTGTCCCTTGCATGCTGGGCCCCTCCAACTCAGTGGTATCTCCTAGGAGCTTGCAGTTCTTTTACTATTGAGTCTCACTAAAGCCAAAAAGAGAAAACCGAGCTCATGGGCAGGTGGTGACTGTTTGAGCAATACCCTGGGGGGAAGCAAGGTGAGCTTGTGTGGGACACAGCTGTAGGTATTTGTGGCTCTTGGAAGGGCTGCAGTAAGGTGTGATGTTAGGAGCTGAGGCATCCTCGATGCTTCTTGTTGTAGGAGTTCCCAGGAGTGCTATTACAGACACCAGTGCTCAGATTCTGCTTAGAATTCATTTAGTGATGCTTTTCTGCCCTCCTTTTGCTGTGCTGTGTTGTGAGTGCCTTTTTGCTTTAGGAGAAGGGTTGACAGAGCTTGGTGGAGCTTTGGCTGTGTTTGTTTTAATTTTTTCTACCGTAAGATTGGTTTTCAGAGAACCCACCAAATCACAGAAGAACGCATCTAGATGATGATGGCTGTGGTACAAATAATAGCAGTTTTCTTATCAAGGCACTAAATATTTTAGGTTCTACCCTAAAATCATTAATCTGTGTTAGCGCTTTGCTTTGGTTGTGTCCGTGATATGGATAGGAGGGTGAGTTAATGCCATTCTACGTCGTTGCTGACTAGAGCACTTTCATTTTTGTCCTGATTGCCTCTTGTAACTGTGAATCTCACAGGGTTAACTTGCAAGATCTCACCAGGGTGTAGACACCACTAAAGGATAAAAGAAATAGCCAAAGGGGGTGTGAGTGTGTAATAATTTTAAATGCTGAGTTTATTCTCTTTGCAGAAGGCGAGAAGCAGTTAGTCAAAATGGACAATGCAAAACAACGAAGGTCAGAGGAGAGCATTTTGCTATATCAGCACACTTTGATGCTTTAATGAGCTTTTTTTTTGATTATTCATCCAATTATATAATACCTTAAGCTGATTTTACTTTCAAATGTAGTACCTATTCCTGAGCCAAATGTGCCAGAGGACTCTGCAGTTCATATAAATCATGCGCATCAGTCATCTACGTGCAGATGTAAAAGGTATTTGTGAATATTGAGATGATAATGTAGATTTTATTTTTTGTTTGTTTTCCCAAAAGAACTTCTTAGTCAACTATGGGTAGTGACTTTCAGGGACCACGTTAATGAAATAGTGGATCAGGATCTGGTTTGGTGTCTCTCATTACTTAGACATTTAAGGTGCAGAAGAGGCTAAGTTTTTTGCAGTACCCTGACACTGCTGTTGGTGAAGCTCAGTGCTTCCCAAAGGGCAGCTTCCTTCTCAGCTCACCCGAACTTCCACCACTGCACCCCCTGCCCAGGCCTGGACTTGGTGCGCTTTGCCCAATGTAAAATGCTGTTCAGCAGGAGTTCGGCTCGGTCTTGGATGTGAATCTCCACCTCAGCAGTTAAAGAGCAATTGGCATTTGACCCCAGGAACATGCCTCTCTTTAGGGAGAAATAAAATGTGCTTCTATCTGGTGTTGATGATGCTGGGAATCAGCAGCTGGAATCACTTGCTGGAAGGTCTGTGAGCTGTAGTCCTATGCTCTTGCTCACAAATAAATTCCAGGCTGTTGTCACCCCTCCCCCCTGCATTTTCTTTTAACCCAGACTAATTACCCCAGCTGACCAACATTCTCTCCCAGGTGAAACACAACCAGCCCAGTTAACCAGTTGTATTAATTTGGGGCAGTCTGGTTTGAGCCCAGCCAGTAAGCTGGTTGGACTGAATCTCTTCACCTGTGCCCCAAAGCCAGCCTGTGACTGAGAGCCAGCAGCCTAGAAGTCAGCCCGTCTGCTCCCAGAAATGGCAGCTGCCATGTTATGTGGTAAGGCGCAGGAGCTTGGGCCCCCTCAGCATCAATTAGGCTGGTGATTTGAGACCCAGACTTGCCGTAATGATTTCAGAAGGGTTATGTAGATTGCTAGCTACACTTGCATGTTAGCTTTCTTTGACGGAAGGCCAATATTTCTGCTCTCGCTCAGAAATGATTATCAGATGGTAGGAATAAATCACAAGAGAAATCTTTGCATCAAAGCTGTTAAAGCCAGCTGTTATGTGGAGCTGGGAGAATATCCTCTTCTGTGGCGTGACAGCAAAAGCTGTTTGATCCAAATATGATGACGGTTTGGAGAGACAAACAATTACAGAATCATTAAGTCAGATTCTCAGCTGTTTGACTGATTTATTTTCTAATATGCAGTTAGTGGATTAATGAACTACCATGCAGCTTGTAAATCCCTGGCCTTTTGAAACTTGTCTCTCGTTCACATAACCGTGGCTGTAAGTTAGAGAAACTACACTCTGATTAGTGGCATCTTTGCCCATTTTCACAGCTTATTCCTTGATCTTGTTACCCTGTTTGAATAGCTGGGTTTAGATTTAAATCCTGCGTATTCTGTAAAACCATTCAAGTTTCATTGCTTAGTAGGCAATTAAGTGAATATTGGTTAGTATCAACTTTGTTGCGGTAATAGTGGTGCTTCTTCTTGAATCCATAACTACACCATGGCACCTTGTGGGGTTTATTTCTTCAAAGCTTTCCGTTAGGTCAGAACTGTTCAAGGTTCAGAAATGAACCAGTTGGGTTGTACAGATGTTTCCAGAGACAGTGGGCATGGCTGTACAGCAGCTTCCAGCATCTGTCCTGCTGCCTGTGTGCACAACTCCCCTACCTGTTGTTCTTAATTCCCTGGGACATTCAGGGAACTCACAAAGGGTTGCAGGGCTTCGGTCTTGCTGACACCAAAGTGCTTGTCATGGTATATGGCCAAAAAGCCACTGGCCTGACTTGTTCTAGAATTACAGAAAGGGCAAACATGAAGACGTGCACTCGCAGTCCTGCTTTATGAATTCAGTGCTCGTTCATGCAGTTGTCAATGCAAATTTCTGCCCCTCTCTCTGTTCCTGGGTGTAGGTCCAGAGGTGGTGTATAAGGGTGCCTATTCAGGATTGAATCTCTGGCTGTTATTTGTAACTTTGTCAGGTTCATAGAAGCATTTCCGTGATAACTTAGAAGTCATCTGCATTCAACTTTCCCCAGCTGCCTTCTGGCCGTTGAAAGAGAACACAGAAAGAATGCTCGAGCTGTAGTGTGGCTGACAGTGTGACCTTATTTCAAATATATTATGTAATCCCATTCAGCTCCCCACTAAAAGGATGGTACAGAACAAGAGAGTTCAGAAAAAGATGATAAGGATGATTTAGGGTCTGGAGGAAAAAAATAATCCTTGTATAAAGATACTGGAAAAAATTGAATTTTCCAATAGATACATAGATAAATAAGTACCGCATGACAACTAAATAAAATACATGATCTAGAGAAACTAGAGTTTCTCTTCTGAGTATTTGAACAGTGAAGAAGGCAATGTTCACTAGGAACAAAAGATTGATAAGGGGAAGCAACTGCTTTTCCCAGATATGGACTGATGAATCCGAAGAAATTAATTGCTACAAGACATCATGGAGAAAAAGAAATCTGCTGACACTAAGTGGACAAGATATGTACTTGGAACTATCAGAGCTGGAACAAGAGGTACAGAGCTGTTTGTGCACTTGGGTTGCTTATCTGGAGTAGAATGGATCTTCAGAGACTGTTGAGAAGGGTTTTTTTTGTGTGTGTCGTGTCTGCTATTTTTGTTGTTTGTTTGTTCTGAGCTTTGTCTGTTAACTACAAGCATTGGCAAATGGAAACACATTGTCGTTTCGCACACTAAGTAAAATGGGGTAGATGTTCACCTTCCACTTTTTGAAATATTCTACTTGTCATCTTCGGGTATCAGCACACTTCTTTCATATAGTGGATTTCTTGATTTTGAGCTTTAAATCAATTATTTGGGTAAGTAATGTTAACCTGAGGATTTTTTTTTCAAGGTGTGTTAAATAAATGGCGGGTTTGGAGATAAAGTAGCTGGTACATGGCTTGAAGTAATTCACTTTAAAATGATACATGAGTATTCGTGGAGTCTTGTTGAGTGTCTAGTGTTGTATTTGGAGAGAGATACATATACATACGCGCACACTATCTGTCTGTGGTAAAATATAATATATTGCACTGCTTGTTTAGGTAGAATTAAGTTATATCCACTTTGCTAGTGGAAACTACCAGCAATGAGAGTGACCCCTTTCCTGCAGCTGATATTAAAAATGTTCTTTGATATGATGGGGATTACGCAAATACTACTTTTTTTTATAAAGCTTGAAAGTAGGTGAGATGTTCTGCTGTGACTGAGGAAAATATATTATTTAACAAGAGAAACTATGCCTGGCACCATTAAGAGGGTTGGTTGGCTTGAATTCATTTGAATTTTCTAGCATGACAGTTTGTGCTACTAATGAGGCGATATTGGGAGTGAAAGCCATTTTTGAGACTTGCTTCATCAGCTGTTTCACACAGTAATGAATCCCCTTAAAGCTTGGGGCCAGAAGATTTGCGTTTCCCTCCCTGATTGAATGAAACCCCTCACTCTGGCAATAAAGCAGTTGCAATTACAGAGCCTTGCTTGAAGGGACTCTGCAGTACTGTACACTTACCTTGGGGGTGGAGGGGAAGAAATCCACTTGGGGAGGAAAATGTGCACTCATTTTAAAGTTGTTCAGAAGAGGGTCTCTTTAATCACTTAAGTTTAAAGCAAATGCTGGAGAAGATATTCCAAGTAATGTTATATATGTTATGTGCTATTGTCCATGGCATGCCATCTTTTTCTCCCAAACCCATGCTTGTCTCATTTTGTCCTCATGCAGTCCCCAGTATGGCATGTCCAGCACATGTGGGCTCAGATCCAAAAGAGCCAGGTTAATTTTCATTTGGCATTCTGAGCTGTTTCCCTGGGGAGAGTCGCACAACAAAGTCTGGCAGAACGTCCAAAAAGAAAAGCCTTTACCCTGTGTCACCGGTCTGAATGCCACGTGAAGAACAGTTAGATGATTAAACATGTGTCAAGCTTGTCTGATAGGCTGTCACATTTAAATCTTAAATCAAAATGCTATGGTGTTTTTTCCCCCCTCAACACTCTAACAAATATCAGGCTTAGCAAGGCAAGGAATGTGTGACAGCTCTGCACAGCACTAACACTAGCGAGAGCAGCTTTTGTGAACATAAAAGAAAAAGATTTTTGGCATTGTGTTACAGCAGCGCCATCGTGGTGATTCTGTACTGTTCATTATCTGTTTTAATATTCCCTCTGAATGTGCATAATACCTGAAAAACAAAAATGAGCTCAAAGCAGCATCTTGCCCGACAACAGCACTGCACTGTGCCCACGTGCCCCAGCCTGAGCCTGTGAGCTGGCCTGCCTCTCTCCAGACTCGGCGTGAACCACGTGGAGCATCAGGGGTCACTCAGCACCAGGTCAGGGCATGCCACCTCCCCCTGAAAGCCCGTAAATGGGGTTTTATGAACATGGGCAGGACGTGGTTCTTGGTGCATATTTGTCTGAGTGGTGCAATGACTTCTTGACTCACCTCGTGGCACGATTTGCAGGCTAATTCAGATTGTGCTTCTACTTGCACATGTGAAACCATCCAGTACAATTCAGGCCATGCTGTGGATGTCCACACTGAAGAGGCCTTCGGGGTCGTTGCAGATGAGCTGTAGCATTCAGGGGGTACTGGTACTGATAGTAGCAGCAGCTGATATCATTTGATTCAGTTACATTTATTTCACCAGGAGCCTACAGATGTCTGCAAACAGACCTGGCATTAGATGTTAAATTAAAAATAAATAAATAAAAAGATCTGTTTGAGATGTATTCTGTTCAAGATGTGCTATTGAAGTATCTGTGTTTTTTTGACCTATAATTTTCAGTTCCAAGGTCTATTTGTTATGGAGAAAAAATCTCCTTGTAAGTTCTCTCTCTACCCTTCTGCTTTTCTATGGAGGCTATAGGCTACTTATTTATTTCTTAAGGCAACTAGCACGTTGTCTGTATAGAAATGAGTTGATTAAGGAATGTTCTTTTAAAAGAACTGGTTTGCTCTGAACAGTGAGCTGTTCTAGGAACACGAGTGTTCTTCATTAAAAAATCATTTAACTGAGGTTAATGGATACATGCATAGGGGAAGAAAAATCAATTGGCCACATACAGTAAATGATGCAGAGGGGTATCATGCCAGGAACTCACAACAGCTCTCAACTCAGATGGCTGAGCAATGTCATACCATAACAAATCTGCAAATCTTCGCGGATTTTGGAAGAGATAAAAGGCGAACCAAACATTTCTATGTAGTCTGTGCTTGAGTGGAGTAAGGTGTACAAGCCAAAATACAATTTCCAGTTGGGTGGCAGGGAGTCTCAGAACTTTTTCTGTAGCAACTTTGTCAATGCAAAACCAGTACCTGATTAACTGGAAACCTAAAACTTCTGAGGGCTGGTTACTTGGTTTGCTTTAGCAAGAAATTTGCTTAAGTCATCTAAAAAAGCAAATACAATTTTCCAGGGATTGTATGGGGCTGTGACTGGCTCTAGTAGTCATCTGCTTGTCCCTAACCAACAGCACTTGTGGATTTTTCTCCGAACAGTTGATCTCAAATGAAATTCAAGGATTCTTCTTTTGATGGTGGTGGTAAACATTACTTAGATTTGCTTTGTGACTTGCTTTTGCAATCCTGCTGTTCAGTTTGTCCACAATACTAGATTTGAATGAGTACTTGTCCATCAATAACAATAATAAGGGTAATTTTTATTCCTGGATGCAAGTCCCTTCATTCAATGTGCTTTTAAACTGCCTCTAATTGTGAGGTGCTTCCACTTAATGGAAGATAGCTGGTATTAATCTCTGTGTTACAGCTAATTGTATCTAATGTTCAACCTTGCCCACCATTGAACTGCTGGAGTTATCAGGGAAGAAGACATGAAGTCTGCCTGGTGTGACCAAGCTCATAATGGCAAGCCCTGGAAAACTAAAAAAAAAAAAAAAAAAAAGTCCCCAAAAGCTGGGGAGTCCCAGAGCATTGCTGTCTTCATCATGACTTCTTTATTACAAGTGCTGATGAAATTCCTGTCTATGGCACAAGAACAGTGATGCAGCACGTCATCAAATACTGTGAAGCCAATGCTGATCTTCCTCCTACTTGCGGAACAGTGGGAGTACAGTAATCCTCCTAGTCCTGCTTGCCCCAGGCTAGAGGGGTAGAGTGCCTGCTTGTTCCAGTGGAGGTGCTCTTTTAGCAGTCTGAAAATAGCAAGACAAGTGAGGAGGTCCCTTTCCTTCATACTCTAGGAAGGACACAGCCCGTTAAAGGGTAGCATTCATCCTGAAGCTTGAAGGGGCCTGGAGTGCTAGTTATTAACAGATCGGGGTTTTACAGTTTAACTCAAAGTCATGAACACCCCTTCACATCTGGAACTACAAACAAAAGCAAGCTGGACTCTGAATAACCATCCCGTGGCTTTATAAAACAAGGGAAATGCAGCAGATGTGAGTAGTTGTAAACGTGTAAGGAAAGCGTTGTTGGCTCAGGATTTCTGGGAGTGTCTAGTCCTGAATGCAAAGCCCTCTGCAAAGGCGAGCCATCCTGTGAAGCAGCAATGTAAATGTTGGCTAGACTGTAGGAATTTCAGTTGTCATGAAAGGCATTGTCAATATTAAGGTTCTTCTTAAACTTATGGTCCTTATTTCCATGGAACTAACAGCAATTTGTTCAAATGAAAGCAAGAAGACTCCCCTTGTTCTCAGTATGAGATGCCTGTGGTGGTGATCTTGTTACAGAAAATTATTTCTAATGAAAGATTATTCTGAGTGGAAGATAACATTGATGAAACTCTAGAGTTTTCTCCCATGGAGATAATAGAGTATTTTGTTGGCATCAGTAAGGCTAACATCAAGCTAATGAAGGTCATACTCTGATAAAGCTAAAAGATAAAAACCAAAGCCCAAATTTGGATGGATTTTTTTCAACAGAATAGAATTGTAGATATCCACTGATCCTTTGTGCTAAATTTGAAGTTCTTTCCCCACAGGAGGTATAACAGAAGTCAGAGAAGATTTCCAAGTTTATTTTGGGAGAGAAGTTGGGCCAGAGGTTGGAGGCAGCTCATAGTCACTGAGAACTTTCATTGGCAGCAGCTGCTTCCCTCTTGCCTAAATATTTCCAAGTGATTGAGCTTGACGTAGAAACTCCATGCGAGAATTTTCAGCCCAAATCGCTTAAATCGAGAGAATAGCAAACATAGACAAATCTGATACAGTACTTTATCATGCCCGACAGCATTAATAACCGGCAGAGATATCTAGGCAGGATTCTGCCTAAATATAGCCTCTTTTGAGTGCACATTATTCAGGTTTCCCGTGTCAGGATAAAAATGAGCAAAAACAACCACCAAAGATACTGGTTCAATTTCTAAATACTTTCTACTTTGTAAAAATACTTTGTACTAATGTATGTGGCCACATTTTTATGTTCTTAAAAGTTCAATTTCAACTATCTTTCTTGGGAGCTGAAACTTTCCTTAGGTTGGTACATCTCTAAACAAATTGTAGCAAGAATGATTACTTTAAGATGCTTCAGACTCTATCAAGCGTCTTATCTCAAGCA